TTTTTAAGAATAAGAAAAAATTAAATTTAGTTATATCTCTGTAATAAAGGACTTTGGAGATATAAAACTAGGCTGCCTATATATAAAATTTTGTTAGGAACAATTTTACTTAGGCAGCCAAAATATGTTTACTTAATAAAATATTAAAAAAAAGTACAGTTGTTTTTAGAGAAAACTTGGTATAAGTGATCATTGGGAAGAGTTAGTGATTTGTGTTTTATTTCTGATTAATTATAATTCCAGTTAATAATAATACTGATTAATCATAATATCGATATATATGATTTGATTAATTATAATATTAATATATATGATTTAATTAATTATGATATTGATATATATAATATGATTAAAATAATTTTAACTTTCAAATTGATTTTTAATAAAATAATTCTTTCGAAATTCAATTGAAATAACTTCAATTTCAAATTAATTATATTCAAATAAATGGAACAAGATGAAAACTTGCAGTCTTTACAAATATCTAATATAAGTATGAAAATTTCCATTATATTTTAACTTTTTATAATTAAATTTTATTTAATAACTAAAATATTGATAGGTTTAGAAGTTGTACAAATTATTGAATCAACTGAAAAAAATAGCAATAAACTTTCACAATATTTAGAAAATTTTTTATCTTCAAAATATAATTCTTTAATTCAACAATTTTCTGAAAAACCCAATATTGAAACAAATAAAGGAATCCAAATTCAGCAATTTTATATTCATTGTTTTACAAATATTTGATTAAAAGAACAAGCCCATGAGTAGTTGGCAGCATTTCAAGAAAAAACTAAAACTACAATGAGGATTTCCTGTGGTTTCAAAATTACTTGCAAGCGTGTTTTATTTCATGAAATACAGTAATGTATGCATAGTCATAAAGTTAAAAAAAGCAAGGAAATCTATTACCAAAAAAAATCAACAGTAAACATGCATGTTATACACATTGTGAAGCTTTTTTAGAAATGCGAATTAAGTGCTCACATTTAGAACAAATGTATTCTTTAGAAATTAAGCTTAATTATACACATAATCATATTACAAATTCAGCAGAAGACTTAGATTTCGACTAGTAAATAATAATACAAGGGAAAAATATTATTAATTATTTTATAATAGATATAATGCAGCATCTGCTTAGCATTTTTATCAGGATAATTTATATTTAAGTATAAATACTAGTGAAGAATTAGTTACAATATTGGCTGATTATGCAATCAATCCTAATTATCTATATATTTCTAAACTATATAATATATTTGAATCTGAAAAATATGGAGAATAAAATGGTGTTGCAATGTTTTCACAACTTAAACAAGAAGTTGATTTATACAATAAATCTGGTAAAGGAAAGCCTATTTACAAGAATATAATTCTCAAAAGGGTACAGCTTTTATTTTATGTATTGTTACTGAGCTTATGAAAAAGGTTCATGAAAGAATCCATCAAGCTGGAAAATTATGTTATCTTGATGCATCAGCTAGTTTTAACCTATTTAATATATCAATCTTTCTCCTTTATACAAGCTATATAGTAGGTGGTTTACTATTAGGTATTTTTCTTACTTCTGAAGAAACAGAAATTACTATGGAGTATGCAATTAATATGTTAAAAACAATTTTATTACCAAATGCATTTTTTGGTCACAATTTAGAAATTAGACCAATATCTATTATTACAGATGATTCAAGTGTAATTTGTAATGCATTACAACTTTGTTGGCCAACAACAAACTGATTTTTATATATATTTCATGTGCTCCAGGCATTTTGGCAGTGGTTATGAAATTCAAATCATTTAATTATTAAAGAAGATCGAATTCCAATTATGCAGCAAATGAAAAAAATACTATATGCTTCTTTAGAAGAAGAAATAGAGAAAGAATATAACTTATTTACTTAACAATATTTCATAAAATATTAAAAGCTAGTACAACATTTTAATCTTATTTGAAAAAGGTGAAAATTCTGAATACTTGCTTTTCAAAATAATTTATTAATATGAAATAATCACACAAATAACTATATAGAAAGAAGTTTTGAATTACTTAAAAATATTGTATTTAGTTGTACCCAAGCATATAATATAGTTCAAATATTTTATTTTGTTATAAACAAAATGGAATGCTTTTATAAAAGAAGACTATTAAGTATTGTACATTAGCATCCAAGTCATTTAATTATTACAAACCGATTCCTATATTCCGGATGTAATAAAATTAACTTTAATTTAATAAATAAAATTATATTTAAAAGAATTTATAAAGTAGCAAGTGAAACTAAACCTAATACTTTTTATATAGTAAATTTGAATATTGGAATATGTATATGCTTAAAAGATTTTTTAAAAGCTTCTTGCAAACATCAAGCAGCAGTAGCAGTAAAATACCACCAAAGTTCTTTAAATTGTTTAACAGCTCTTTCACCAGGTAATAAAGCTGAATTATCATATATTGCATGCGGTGAATTTTTTTTTCTGTATAATTAATAAATAGAATAACTAATCTTAATTGCTATATAATTTAGGATATAGCTCAAAAGATAAATCATTTTATATGTCATTGCATTCAAATATTAAACAAATGTATAACGCTAATGAAATTAATGATATTACTGATTATAGAATAATTCCAACTTTAAGTAATAATATTAATAATCAAGAAATGATTTCAAATTTAAATGATGATATTGACAATCAAGAAACAATTTCAAATTCAAGTACTAATATTGATAATCAAGAAATGATTTCAAATTTAAGTGATGATATTAACAATCAAGAAACAATTTCAAATTTAAGTAATAATATGATAATTAAGAAATGATTCAAGATTCAAATAATAAAATTATTAATGATATAGATACTATTAATAATAGATCTACAAATAATAGGTATATTTTTTAACATATGTAAATATTTTGTTTTTATTAAATTTAATCTTATATATCAATATACAATACAGCAGTAAAAATAATCCAAAAGCTGAAAACATTATTGAAATATTTATAAAAGAGGCTAATGAAGATATAATGGCGAATCCACAAATTAAAACTGCATTAGAAACTTTTATTCAAAATTATAGAAAAGTGCATAACATATTAATAGGA